GCTACGGAACGGAACTACCCTCTCTGGAACAACCTGAATGATGTTTTTACAAAAAATACTAAAGTATTCATATCTCCTTTCATTCATAATTATACTCCAAGCCAAATTTTCCAATGGTACAGTTAGTTTTCTCTTACTTTATTGAAAAGTATTTCAGATAGTCTAGAGTAGGATTAAAAGTAACACAAAAACATTATTTTATTTAGTGATATATACTGTATATATATGGTGTTCCCCGTTACTGTCTCGGCATGCTCTTGATTTGATATTATTCTTGAATTTTGTTGTCCCTTCTGTACATTTAATAATTACTAGAGGGCCCATGCTACTCTACAACGTTGAAATGAAAATCATATTCGAGCAATAATCAAATTTAGAAATTTTTATTGAGTATCTTGATCTTAACTGATTCAAACGATAAATAGCTCAAATTAAAACCTTTAATTAACTTACTATTTTGCGTTCAAAACATGAAAAAACATAAACAATAGTGGAACTATTGATTTTTAATCATAGAAAACCCTTATAAAAAATAATTTATATGTTGGTTGTTCACATTGCAATTGCTTGTAGTCCGTCCGATTTGGATAACTAATTAATAGCTTAAATGAAAGCTGGCATTTCACTGAAGGTTCTTAGACCAAAATATGTAGGATTATATAATTATAACTGGTGAAATGCATCTTAAGTAAGAATTCGAAATGTTTAATATATGTTTTTGGACGAGTAATACAGTAGATCAATATATATATGCTGATGCTTAGAGTGAAATCTGTGCACACCTTCAATTTGAGACCTCAATCATGAAAATCGGTTAAATTTATTTTTAAATATAAGAATATTGACTCTATTAACGTTTAACGAAAACTATCACCGTTTTACAACAAATTGTGTAGCAGCTGTTCCGGTTAATGATAACAACCTATACTGAATTGAAGCTTTAGAATAGAAGATTTCAAATGTTTACGGGAGCAAGCTCCTAAAATGTAATAATGTCGGTAGCTATACTTGCGATAGTACACTTGATAGGTTTTTAACAGCTTTTATTGATTTATGCATTATTATTATATAATAAATAATGCTATTTAATAAAATAAAAGATTGGTAATCATATGGTTAAACGTACGGACACTGACTAGTTTTTAGGTGGAGGAACAAGCAAATTTTCACAGTTTTGAATGTAAACCTATTTTACTCGAAAGATGTTTGAGATAGAAAAACACTCTTGAAATACAAAAGTTGTGGATAATTTAATTCTACACTACCGATCTTCCATAAGATTTAAGATCCAAGCATTGTAGCTTATAAGTTTTCAGACCAAAATATAATATCTTGCATACTCGAATTTCTTCTGAAATAGCTTTAATCCCCTAAACCACCCTTGAATTTAGAACTTTGCAAAATCCCAACTTTGTACATCTACACCGTATACATGGATTGTCGTCCCGATGCAAAATGTTATTATTCTAGGCCTTATATATGTTTTGAGATACATTATAGTGATCATTTGTCAGTGATATGCCAATCAATATAAAGGTAGGTCAATGGAAAACATTTATCTACGTGGTGATCGGATGCATAGCAGCTTCAAAACGGATACGTCACAAAATTCGTGTTTGCCTATTAGATATATTGGGTATCTATATTTAATATATGGATACCCAATATACCTATAAACATTCAAACTTATGGGCCAATTTGCTGCACACAAAATCCATAACAAAGTCTTTTAATAATATAGATACTTATAAGGTTAACAAGGAAACTCCAGAACCACTTGGGTATGTTTTATCTATGGTGGAACCCAAAAGTCGGATCAGGATAAAAACTACTTAGTTTTCCTATTTAATGCCTGAAGAATCAGTACACCAAATTTCAACGTTCTAGCTAGTCTGGAAGTTGAATTAGTAATGAATCATTGAGTGAGGGCTTTTACTTTTATATGTTAAGATTATTAGCTAAATATAACACATATGAAAGGTACAAAATAAAATCCATAAGTTAAATACAGTAGTAGAATATATAAAAACGGAGCTCCAGACAAAGCTGTCTTTAAAATTTGAAATAGGTAGGTGTTGCTGCAGACTTTTAATTTTATTCAGCGAGATTACGCCCCTGAATTTAGTGTTACTCCCTCAATATGACAACACTGTTGGATAAATCTAGCTAAGTGGGATAAATGCAGGGATGCAGCAGGCACTTGTAGAGCGAAATTTCCCACAATTTCCATGTAACCTTTTGACTGGTTTTCAGGTTATGTCTATGTGACAAAATCCAAAACACAATTGAACATAGGATGCACAATAAATCGGATGTGTTTACTTTTGGGCTATTGACTTAATTATTACATCAAACAATTAAATGTATTCTGAACTTGTGTACCCGTTGCGAAATAGACTAGGTTGGATAGAGGTAGGCTAGCCGCCATCGCCATACCCGTGCTTCGCTAAAGGAACGCTAAAGAGAATAATTTATTGTCATGTTCCATAGATCTGTTGTATGAAAAGTTAAATAACTCATAAAATAAATGCCTAATTAACATTTTCATTTAAAGCATCAAACGAATTACTTTCAAAAACGTGTTTTATATCAACTAGACAGCTAGCTGTTCCCCCCGGGCTTCACCCCGTTCCGTTTGACTTCATATTAATAACACTATTGATTGGATAAGTTAACTGATAATCATTTAGCGTTGAACTTACCAAACAACATCACAGATGCAAATTACGGACTTGAGAGGCCATCAATTATGGACCTGCGCTTCAGATTTTTGTAAAGAGTTTTATCGAAAAATTTGTTATTTTTAATGTTCAAAAGTTACTTTGTTGTATTGCATTGCATATTTATCATGAAAACATCAAAATAAATTTACAGATATTTTTAGTTGTACATATTCCTTAAAGACATCAAGAGAGTTATCAAGATCCCTGCTTAGTTCGCTGACGATATAAATCTGTTTGTGGAAAAGTTGCTTCCCTCTATGATTATAAGTCATTTTGCCTTAGGCTTAGTACTTTAATTTGAAATGGCAACCATACAAAGTAGGTATTTTAAGCCAAGTACCAGTATGCATGGAGATGAGTGTAGGATGGATGAGTGGCACGATTTTGTATCATTGTTAGTGACTAAGGCTGACATATTTCTTAGACACAGCTGTCAATTATAGCCCATACTTTGGGCTAATGGAAACTATAGGGACCTACAGTTTATAGTAGAATCCAAACCACATTTTTCCTTGGTAGGTATAAAAAAATTTGTCTAATTATCAGGATAGTACTGCGGATAGTCGTAGTACTCACTAGTAAGGGCGTTAATTCAAACCAGGAAGTATCACATCCACAGTACATGCCTATAAATATCCACAACTCGTGACCTCCTAGTAGCTGAATTACAGGATGACACCACCGTCTCAGTCTCTTAATGATGTCTTAGCTAAGACGTGACCAAAGATAATGGTTGATTCCATCAAGAATAAGTTAAAAATTGTTGGCATTAACAAAATTCTCTGGATATTGACTATTTCCCAGATTCTTATTGACTCGCCATATGCGTTTGGGCTTTGGGCCAGACATTCAGCACATCTGTGCCAAGACCTCTGGCATTCTCAAAATGATCTGCTGTGCAAGACACTGTTTGAGCATCCATGATTTTTGTATCCATACCTGCTATATATCCAGTATAATTTTTACTGTGTATTCTGGTCGCTTTTACCAGCACAGCCTTTTTCAATGTCTTAGGCCCCCAATACGGGAAGAATGAGCGTACGCCTAGTATAAATTGTCCTTAAAGCAGTTCTCGTATGTCAAGAAGTTTACAACATAGATTTACATTGTAAGAAAGGGGATTAACCCTGTACCCACGGTGCTTATCTAAGCAGATACTCTGTTTACATTACACTTATAGTCCTCGCCACCCTAAGTTGAGGCAGCCCAAGGCCGCACGGCGTATATCTAGTGCGGCCTTTGGCTGCCTCAACTTAGGGTGGCGAGGACTATAGTCGACCAGTTGGTGTGAAGAGAGTTGAACAGTAGCATGAGTATCGATTTACAAATTCCTTTCCCAGCTGACGTGAGCTAGGCGATGACTGGTAGGGCTGACTTCCAAGAAACATCGTTAACCTATAAGTCAAACACCCAATCAGCCAATGAGAAGGGCTAATGAAGAAAATGGAGGGGTGAGGAGTCTCGGAGCTGGAGGACCTGAAGAAACAAATCGAGGAGTTCACCACGGGCCACTGGACTAAGAAGATCGAGAGTTTCGGAGTGTGTGTATCAGTGCATGTGCTTCTGGGACAATAAACAGTATGTAAAAAGAATAAAATATATAACTAAAGTTTTGTAAAACAAACAAGTCATATAGTTTGTCAGTAACTCATTCTTTTACATTTTTAATTGATTTTCTTTTCTTGTAAATTATAGCGTTGTAAATTTATTTATCTTATTATTGTTGATCTTTGCCTTTTCAAAGTTTTCTTTTGCTTTACTTTTGTTCTTTTTCTTAATTTAATTTTGTTCATTACACGTTGAGCAACACCCTTAAGCAGTCTTATGTCTCATTAACCTAACACCTCTAGACTATGAAGTTCAAACATTTATTCAGAGGAAAATTCTTGAGTGATTTTATTGGGTTGGCTAAATAGAGTTTTTGTTTCAACTTTTGAATTACTTATTTCATTTTTACAGTACACTCATTAGTCATTAAACACCAACATTATTTTATTTTACTAGCTATATATTAACTTTGCTTCTTAAGATTGACACTGACATGTATAATATATATAATATATTTATAATATATAAATATCATTTTATCTTTATGTATAGTTATCTGAGACATGTACGAACAAGAACAATAAAAAAATATATCTAAAAAAAGAATATTTTATCTATAAAACTGTAAAATTGTTAGAAGATCAAAATAAAATATATAATCATTTTTACATGTTTTCTTTACAAATTACAGAGAAGTTTACTGGTAAGAATTTTAACAAAATTAACTGCTCTAGATAAATATAAGGTTTATTGGTAAAGTATAAAAACAGTACATAACAATAAAAGGCAACATATAATAATAACTATAGCTGCCCTGTACAGCGGCCAACCTTCTCCATAATATTTTTGTCCAGAGCTGGGGCTACATCTTTCTTCCTGAAACAAACATTTTAATCTTGGTAAAGAAAGTCACAATTTTAAAATACTCGGGGGTACCAAATTATGCGGGTTGGTGTAGTTGGTAGTTTCAAATAAAAAGGTCTTATTTTACAATAAATTACCATAGGTACCCTTAACTAAAAGTTTTTAACTGGTTTATTCCACCTACAAACGTGCGACACAAACTCGATCTTTGAGGGGCTTTCATTGCTTGTTAAAGACACATGTTAACCTCTTGCCACATTACCAAGAGTTATTCTTCTTGCTAGAAGAATAACTCTTGTTAATGTGGCAAGAGGTAGATATCTTCCTGAGGAGGATGTAATTGGGAAGCTACAGGCTTTTATCGGACGCCTGAACTTGTAACTTCAAGAAAACAACTGTATGGGGTGCGCAATAATTTTATTTTTGGATGAAGTGCTTTATGGTCTTGGCCTGCCCCTGTTAACAGTTTTAACAGGATCAGCAACAGGTAAATTAAACCTTTTATATTTTGTCTAGGCCTATATTTCCCTGATCAAGTTAGCGCAAAGAAGTTTTTGTTGAATAATAGTTGTAAAGGCTTTAATTTCCTGAATTGAAATAAGTACCTGGGGACCGAGCCATGGCGTAGTTTATTTTGAATTTTAAAGCAATATACAGGAATGGATGCTTTAGAAGAATTTAAAAATTTATAAAACAATCAAAATTCAAGCTAACACATTATTAAGCGACAAAATCAGTTTACAGTCTAACGCTCTGTATGATAATCTAATAAAAAAACAAGAACAGCTGATGAACAAGGAGCCGAGCTGTACAAAGTCCACCGCCCAACCATCTTCCGCATCGCAGTCATGACCCGGGTCATCTGCAACTGCCCCAGGTCATCTTAAGTCATCTGCAACTGTGCGCACGAGGTTGGGGTTGGACATTTTAAGTTTTTGTCAGTAAGCCTACTCGTTTTGTTCATAAAACGTCTATGACTGTAAATAGTATATGTCCGTGTTTCGCATTTAAACTCTTGATGACCCTTTCGAAGTTACAGTGTTAAATGTTCTTGTACAAGATCTCATGATGAGGACTTAAGTCCTTAAAACCCGTAATCCATAAGGACTAAACAGGATCAATCTGGCAGTACTGAGGTAATTTTATACCTTTTATAGTTGGTTCATTGATCTTGAGACAAAACAACTCAAATATAAAAATGAATATTATGTTATTGATATATTTTAACGTAAACAGTAGGGCAATTACAATGTTGGTCATAATTGTTTTATACAGTAGGCCAACATTTGGTGGCTTTTGTTCATAAATTCGGACTACTTAACAACTGTTTGGATTAGGCGGTATAGTTCATCTTCCCGTTGCGAAGCACGGGCACAGAAGCTAGTAAATTATTAAGTGATTTAATAAATAACTCTATATATAATATTTACAATAAACTATACCTTCAAAAACCTGGCTGTTTAACGGATGATATGGCAGACATACAATTATCTCACTAGGTGCTCTTCCTTAAGTTCTTTTACGGAGTACAGCGGCCTATAATTAGTATTCCTTTGAGCGCCTTCTGAAGAAGGGTGCATCCATCTCCTGCAAATGAGTAGGCAGTTATGAGTTGTAGTTAATAGTAGAACGAGGATAGCTATTCTAGGTAAGTTTGAGACGACAGCAGGAAAAGTCTATATTTTGTGCTCTTCTGGTATAGTACTCCTGCACCCCAGTGGCGGATCCAGAGGGGGGGGGGGCAGTCGCAGTTTGGAAATATATGTCATATATTTTTGACTGCATGTAATACAGTAGTGCATACAAATTGTGTAAAATAATTTGTCACACTAACTTAGGACAAAGAAATGGTATAAAACTGCCATTTTTGAAGACTTAGTTTAAACAAATTTTTGGGGAGGGAGGGGGTACCCCCGAACCTCTCAGACACCCTGGTCCCCCCCCCCTTGTGACTGTTCTAGATCCACCACTGCCTGCACCTCATCTTTTCTAGGGTCAGGATATCAAGCACTACGCCGTGAGTACCCTTAAGCTACATTTCCATTCCTACAAGTCGCAGGCACAAGTCGAGGCACATGTCGCACGTAGTTTGTCATGCCGTTTCCATTCCATGCACAAGTCCCGCCACTTCAACTGGCAGACAAGGCAGTGTTCTCTTTTATTGTGATGTGGTGAGGTTCGGTGGATGATTTTAATTATATTGTGTTCTACAAATCACCATGGATGACATAAGAGCCTCTGCTTTTTTATTTATGGCTGGTGCATACAATGAACTTAGAAGAAAACTACCTAGATAGAGGATAAGAAGTTTTTTTTGGCTAAAAGAGCATTGGAAGGTGCATTTAATCAATTGATGAGAGATTTGCGCCGCGACTTGAGCCAGGATGTTTCCATTCCTACAAATTTGGAGATTTGTGCCGGCACAAATTTGCAGGAATGGAAACGTAGCTTAAGATCCTTTAAGATTAGCCGGCAATGATCCAAAAACCGAACAACTGTAATAATCCTAAAGGTTCTGGACAGCATCGTTGTATCATCTGCAAATAATAATTGTTTTCCCATTCAGATTAAGGCAGGATTTTGTATAGGTTAGGCCTAACTTATACCCTTAACCTTATTGACAGGTAGGGCAGTAAAATCGAAGCAAAAATTAAAAGCCGAGTAGGCTAAGTTTATGGGAAGATTTCATTAGCTTAGTGTAGCCTAATGTTTTTAATATCATAAAATAAAAATGTCTTAAAATATTATTAGACTAGCCTAGGCTAATCATAGGGTTACAGCTCTTTTGCTTGATGCATTGAAATGGATTTGGTGAAGTAGAACTACATATTACAACAAGTACTATTACCCCTGATTTATTTAACTGCACAACTATACTTATTATTTATTTTAACGTCTGTGATAGAGCCTATTTATTTGATAGGCTATGCATAAAAAATGTGACTGTGATAATAGGCCTATATCGCTATTAATCAAGTAGCCTATATACCGTGAGTTAATGTGTCTCAGACGAAGTCTATAGTAATCAGTGATTATTCAACGACCAATAAAATGGGCCTACTTAATTACTTGATGTCTTTAAGATAGCTAAGTTATTTTGTTAGTAGTATCAACTAAGTTTAGACTAACCTACAAGGTTTATTATCACACATAAAAATGTTTTGATGGCCGTTGCCCTGGCGGTAGGTTAGTTGCGCATTTGCTACCTACAAAATCCGGGCCCTGTAGGGTGGGTTATAATGCGGTAGAATGGCGATAAACTTAGGTTAGTTGCCCATTGACGCCTTGAACAATAGATCTCTTGAAATTGTAAAGAGCAATGAAGCGTAGGCCTACGAAAAAGCCAGTCTACCGAAATAGGCAAATCATTATGAATTTAATGTGTACCATGTAACCTTGTAAGTTATAGCCATCCACCTCCACCTGTCTCGTAAAGCCACAATAATCAAAGAAAAAATCACACTACTCCAGCTGCTGAGAGTATCAAATACGTATAGGCTATACTATGTTATAAAATGCTAAAAACTCAAATGGTAAACTAAAACTGTCATACGAAAAACTTTATACTTTGACAGCATCTTATAAAAAATAAAAATATAAAAAAAAACTAGTGCACTTGTTGCTCGAAATCGATCAATAGTCTAGTACCGGAAGTTATATTAAAACTAATAGTCATAATTTTCTATGAGTTTAAAAATCCAACTAAAAGCGTAGGCCTAGTATGCAACTAATGGATAGACTAGGCCTATTTGATGTATCGATTCATTCGGTTAGCTAAGTTAGGTTAGGTTAACTTTACTAACCAAACTTGATATATTGAATGAAATAATCGATTTATCGATCGATATATTTATTCGAATTATAGTGTAGGACGTAAGGCCTGAAGTGCAGTTTAATTTTAAAATAGATATATTTTAAATATCGATTATTAATCAATATTTTCAATTTGATAGTTTCAATCGATATTAGCGAAGCCCAGGAAACTGTACCCCCAATTTATTTTTTAGGCTACCAGAAACTAATTTGAATTTGCTTGAAACGTTAATATTCTAATGACCTTGTCCATGTCAATAAGTTACACCTTTCAATAAGAATAAGAATAAGAAAGTTTATTGCCGTTGACCAGGGGCCCTATTTTTGAAATGGTTGACTGTTGAGTTGAGTGTCGAGTCATTCTATTTCCAATAGTTTCGTATTTTTGAAACGATTGACGGTCGACTTATCCAACCAAAACTACTCACCACCTACTGAGCTGTTGAGTGGACGGTTGACTTCACTTTCTTCTTCCTCTTTCGGTAAAAATTGCTCTTTTTGAGTCGACGCCATATTGTTATTGCTTTAATTTATTAATTGCGATTTAGAGGTTATGTATTTGTTGTCAATGTATTAGCACCCAATACTTTATGCGATTGTTTTCTGTAGAATAATTGCATTTTAATTTTATTATTACTGTGTCAATACTAGACTATTTAATCAAGGGTTTTATCCTTGTTGGTATGTTTGAAATAGACTAGGCATACTAATTGAACTTATTATAAGATAATCCTATACTCTAATATGAGAAATGTTTGCTTGTATGTATGTATGTATGCTTGCTTGCACAAAGATCTCGAAAACGGCTCCGACGATTTTCTTCAAATGTTGTAAATAGTTTATTTCTGGCCTAAAAACGAGTTTACTGCAGTTAGAACTGCCAACAAAAATCTAATTACGTAGAAAAATGAAACTGAAAATCACATTTTTTTAACATTAGTCTTATGGGTTGCTAGGTAACCTTGTTGGCTGAATTAAATAACAAGGAAAAGGTAAACAAAAGACTTGAAGTTGTAGCATGTGTTCATAACAAGCCAACTACCCACAGTATACTAGCAAATTACAAATACAGTACAAAAGGAAAAACATCCCTTGTTAATATTTAGCAAAGATTATACTGAAGATTACTCGATACATTGTAGTCAAGGGTAGCAGTGCGAAGTCTGGGATCTGTTGATGACGATTAGATTAAGGTATCTGCAATCCTAAAATGCTATGGGAAGGGAAGGAAACAGGTCCGCGACGTAGGAAGTGGTGAAGGAAGTAGTAAAGGCAATCATAAAATGCTATGGGAATAGAGGGAAACAGGTCCGTGACGTAGAAAGTGATGAAGGAAGTAGTAAAGGCAAACAGTCCGGAGTGTGGGGACTGTTTATGACGATAAGATTAGGATATCTGCAATCCTAAAATGCTATGGGAAGGGAGGGAAACAGGTCCGCGACGTAGGAAGTGGTGAAGGAAGCAGTCAAGGCGAGCTTTCCGGAGTGTGGGAACTGTTTATGACGATTAGATTAAGGGTATGGGCAATCCTAAAATACTATGGGAAGGGAGGGAAACAGGTCCGTGACGTAGGAAGTGGTGAAGGAAGTAGTCAAGGCGAGCTGTCCGGAGTGTGGGAACTGTTTATGACGATTAGATAAGGGTATGGGCAATCCTAAAATGCTATGGGAAGGGAGGGAAACAGGTCCGTGTCGTAGGAAGTGGTGAAGGAAGTAGTCAAGGCAAGTAGTCCGGAGTGTGGGAACTGTTTATGACGATTAGATTAAGGTATCTGCAATCCTAAAATGCTATGGGAAGGGAGAAAAACAGGTCCGTGACGTAGGAAGTGGTAAAGGAAGTAGTCAAGACGAGCTGTCCTGAGTGTGGGAACTGTTTATGACGATTAGATTAAGTTATTTTCAATCCTAAAATGCTATGGGAAGGGAGGGAAACAGGTCCGCGACGTAGGAAGTGGTGAAGGAAGTAGTAAAGGCAATCAAAAAATGCTATGGGAATAGAGGGAAACAGGTCCGTGACGTAGAAAGTGATGAAGGAAGTAGTAAAGGCGAGCAGTCCGGAGTGTGGGGACTGTTTATGACGATAAGATTAGGGTATCTGCAATCCTAAAATGCTATGGGAAGGGAGGGAAACAGGTCCGCGACGTAGGAAGTGGTGAAGGAAGTAGTCATGGCGAGTAGTCCGGAGTGTGGGAACTGTTTATGACGATTAGATTAAGGTATCTGCAATCCTAAAATGCTATGGGAAGGAAGGAAAACAGGTCCGCGAAGTAGGAAGTGGTGAAGGAAGCAGTCAAGGCGAGCTTTCCGGAGTGTGGGAACTGTTTATGACGATTAGATTAAGGGTATGGGCAATCCTAAAATACTATGGGAAGGGAGGGAAACAGGTCCGTGACGTAGGAAGTGGTGAAGGAAGTAGTCAAGGCGAGCTGTCCGGAGTGTGGGAACTGTTTATGACGATTAGATTAAGGTATCTGCAATCCTAAAATGCTATGGGAAGGGAGAAAAACAGGTCCGTGACGTAGGAAGTGGTAAAGGAAGTAGTCAAGACGAGCTGTCCTGAGTGTGGGAACTGTTTATGACGATTAGATTAAGGTATTTTCAATCCAAAAATGCTATGGGAAGGGAGGGAAACAGGTCCGCGACGTAGGAAGTGGTGATGGAAGTAGTCAAGGCGAGTAGTCCGGAGGGTAGGAACTGTTTATGACGATTAGATTAAGGTATTTGAAATC